CAGCTCCTAGCTCCATCTCTAGCTGCAAACTCGAAACTGAAACTCGTGTAATGTGAAGCAGATGAAACGGACAGCCAGACACTCGGACAGTCGGACAGTCGGACAGTGGAGCTCCGACCGTTGGACTCTTGAGAGGGGCGGCGCACGGTCTGAGGCAGCAGCACCAGCAGCAGCAGCAGCAACAGAAATTGCAACCGATAATAATTATTTTTATGGAGTCTAGTCTGTGTCTAGACGATTTTTTTTTCTGCCGTTTCTGGCGTTGCCTGTCGCTTGCTTCACTTGCTGCCGCCCCACCCCACCCGACTGCAGCATAGGTCTCTCCTCTCTCTCTCTCTCTCTCTCTCTCTCTCACTCTCTCTGCAGCGACTCTCTCTATCTTTCACTCTGGCTGAGTGAATGCTCTGTTAAAGCTCTCGGCTCTCTCTACTGTGTCATTGTTTTCGCTTTGATTCCGATTTTAACTGGTAAAATGGCATTTAACTGTTTTTCTGTGCTGCTGCCGCTGCTCCTGCTGCTGTTGCTGTTTGACAAACAAGGCAGACGGACTGGCGGACTGGCGGGGGGGGAGGTGGCATGTAGCATGGGGCAGGCAGCAAGAAAGAGACACGAGACGAGACACAAGACGAGACGAGACGAAGACAACTGCAGTCACAGATAGTGAATGCGAAACGTAAACGTGAGCGAGAGAGCGAGGGGGCGGGGGGGCATGACACAAAACTAAATGCCGCACACAACCCAAATGGACACAAAAGACAGTTCCACACAGTGAATCGGAGAAAGAGAGAGAAAGGGAGTGAGTATAGAGAGAGAGAGAGAGAGAGAGAGAGAGAGGGAGAGCGATGTAGTCAGGCGCAAACATGCGGAAAAGTCAACCCATGAAATCACCAGCAGCAAACTCTCTTCGCTCCGCTCTGCTCTGCTCTGCACAGTGATTCCAATTATAAAGATATATACATACATGTATCGAAAGATATAGTAGTAGTGATGCATAGTGACATATAGATATCGATTAAATATCTTTGTACAGAAGAACATAGAAAATAAACACAAAACATGAACAGATTTTATGAACAGACACAGAAACATTCTTCACCCTGAGGTTGTGGAAGAGATCTCTACAGATATAACCCATTTTCTATATAATATCAGGTTTTTGTATGGAATATCAACAAGAGATATGGTTTTGCATTTACATTCAAGATTAAGTCCACTTTTTGCAGTACTTTTGTACCGGCGAACATCTCATATCTCCTATGCTATAATGCTATCCATTGAAATGAATTCAAGCAAAAGGAATTAAGGGAATCGTTTAGAAGGGAACTTCCCACTCGGGAACCGTTCTTTCCTTTGGCAATACATCCACGCTGCGGCTCATCTTTTTATCTAAATTATATGCAGAATTGCAGTCTTTATCTTCGCAAAGAATTCAATCCCAATTGCGATAAATATTTGTGCCGCTCATGCGAACCACTGTCCTTCAGTCACCAGCTCCGTGGCATGCCCCTGCCACTCTACTCTCCACTGAGGAACGGACAGGCGGACGTGCAACGTTCAACGGCGCTCCATCAACTGCATTTCGCTGTTCGCTTCGTTGGGCATGAGAAAAATGTCACCTCCACAGAGTGTCCACAGTGGAGTCGACTCCAGAGGCAGAGGCAGAGACCAGAGTCACAGCCATGCCATAGCCATAGCCAGAACCAGCGACAGGGTCCAGAGATCCATCCACAGAGACAAGAGACAATCGTCTGTCTGTCCGTCTCTCAGTCAGCATTTTGTGGCCATATTTGGAGTAGGAGAAGTGCAGGAGTGGAGTGGAGTGGAGGAGAGACTAGGAGAATATGTCTCTCGACACCTTTTTGCCAGCAGGGCTTTGTGTTGTTGCAGCTGCCGCTGCCCCCAAAGATATTATGTTATTATGGCAATTATAGTTACACGACTTTGGCGGCATTTCTATGGCATTTTTGGCCCCGACGACAGCTTGTGGCATGTCTCACTTGCGGCAGTTCTCTGCCTCTCCCTCTCTGTCTCCGTCTCTCTGTTGCTTAGAGATTCTCTTGGATAAGAGAATGGAAGGCAATCCCCGCTCGTTGTGCTGTGCTGTGCTCTGACTGCATTGCAATTACAAACATTTTAATGCAATTAACAGACACACACACACACACACAGACACACCTGAAAGGGGGGCACGAGGTCTGTGGCAGGGTCTTGTGGCTGTGACTTCTACGGTGTCTCCATCTCATTTGCCTTGCAATTCGAAACTTCTCTCCGCCCCAAAAAGACAGCAGCACCACCAGCACCAGCACCAGCAACTTCAAAAGCCAAAAGGCGACGCGACATTCGTTCATTCGGTGCGTGTGTCAGTTCTTTGGGGCAATCTCTTGATGAAGCCGCCATAGCCGTGGCTGCTACTTCTGCTGCTGCAACCCCCTGTCTTCACTCTGTGGTACCCTATATTTATGTGGATGTATTCCTATTGAAATATTCGCCAAGTTCACAGAAGAGAGGACCAAACACACACTGTCTGCATGCAATCGGAACAGTCGTAATTCTGCGATTAAAATCGATAGAAGCCGAACACCAATTTCTCTCTCTCTAAGAAATATGTACAGAGTATCAGTACATTCGATCATCGGCATTCTGTTGCGTTGTATTGCCGCTCCAGTTGCTATCAGTGGCCGCTCCTCCTCTGCGGCTGATACTCGAAACGTTGTCGTCTTGTCGCTGGAGCTGCTTTTGTAGTTGCCGCCAGCGTTGCACGTTGCAGCGGTGTTGCACTTACATCTGGCAGAAGGTGGAAGGTGGAAATGGAGGGATCTGCCGCCACTCCTTAATGCCATGTCCAGCAAATCGTTTTGGCCCATGCAGGCAGCCCATGAAGAGGCAGCGGCAAAAAGCAGCCAAAGACGAATCAGTTTTCGCTTCATTTCATCGGCGTTTCATAAAAAATATACAAAAAAAAAATACAAAAAAAAAACCAAAACAAAAAAATGGATTGTCTTTATTATCGGAGGGGACTCTCGTCCTGGACACAGGACACATCCTGCTGCCTGCCGCCTGCTGTCTGCTGCCGTTGCACGTTGCAACTGTCGCCAGGCGGCATTCGGCGGGGCTTCAGATCTTCTTCGGCTTCTTCATTCGATTCGCTTCGGTGTTGCATTGCCATTGGGCACTCGTACTTGGGTATCGATTCGCGTCATTCCCTCAGACGTTGCAACGTCAGACGACGCGTCGCGTCTCGTTGCTTCTCGTCGTTCATTCAAAACTTATTCAAATCGACAGCCGAACGAAAAACAAAAATAAAACACACACAAAAAAAAAAACCAAAATTTGCGCCAAAAATAAAAGAAAACAAAATGAAGCAGAATTTCGGGACTGTGAAATTTTCTAGCTACGATTTTTGGATACCCTATGAAAGCCTCAACACTAAATGGAAAGAGCGTAAGCTGTGCAGGAATTGGTGTTAAAGGTTTATCAGGATCTATCACATAGATCTCTCATAGATATCCTATCCATTATCCATAGATTCTCCATGGATTTCTTACACATATTCATAGCTTCCAGCTGTTTAACAGGCACTCGCCATAGCCCCATAGACCCGTTTCAATTTCCCCCATTTTTGTAGCTCTCTCTCTCTCTCCCAGCCGTCTGCGGTGACGCTGTGGCGTGAGGCAATAATACGTTTTTATGGAGCCACTCGTCTAGACATTCGGCATGCGAATGACGAAAGCACCATCCATCTAACCACCCATCCATGGATAACGAAGCGAAGTTCGGCCTCGAAGTTCCGATAAAGAAATGAGCAGACAGGCCCGCGCGTATACCCGTATAAATGTTATCAATGTAATCAAATGATATTGATTATTCACATCTGTCTGTCTGTCTGTCTATCGAATGTCTGTCTGAATGCCAGACTACCGGACTATCTACCTGTTAAATGTTAATGTTAATTTCTGTTCCCAGCCCCCCTCCGTCTGTACCACTGTCTGTCTGTCTGTCTTTATGTTTGTCTGCCTCTGGCATTTGGCTGGGAATTAATGGGGAGAATCATTTATAATCCGACAGTCAAACAGTCAAAGCCACAAAGCGCTTCCACCTTGACCAGCATCAGAGTCATCTGTTGAGTATCTGTGTATCCGTAGACATGTATCTGTGCATCTGTAGATATATGTTACGCAATGGCCACAATATGGCCAGGGATGGGAGGGGGGCGGGGGCGGGGGCACCCAAGGAACTTAGTCAAGCGATTAGCTTCCGTTTCAGTTGCTTCTGCCGTCTGCTGAATGACTTGGCAGCAGCCAAGCAGCCTTGGCGGCAGTCCGGGGATTTCACTAATCGGTAAAACAGGCAGAGAGGTGCCACACGAGGGGGCATGCACGGAGGACTGGAATTTGTATTTCTAGGTCATTAGGGGAGCAGCAACAGAGCAACAGAGCAACAGAGAAACAGCAACAGCAAATAACCATTTAAGAACCAGACGAACGAGCGGAGCTTCAAGAGGCAGAGCGGTGGAAAGGTAGAGCGAGATCCATGCCATGCCATGCCACGCCATGCCATTGGGGCATGTCAGGGAATATGTTTAATTTATTATTAATGGACTCTCTGCGACCTGCCCCACCTTCCTGCCTCTCGCAGGAAGGGGCACGCACACACACACACAGACACGACGTGTCCTTGAGCTGTGGACTGATTTTTTGATGAATTATTTTGTGTTTGGCGGAATCATGAAATTCCTGGAAGAACATTTGCAATTCCTTTGGCACAGATATATATTACAGAACAAAGGCACTTCACTTCTGGGAGATAATCTAGAACTGCTGGGGATGAGTAATGCCCTATAGTTGTTGGAATCGAATAAGAACTCCCCTTGAACGCCATCTTTTCGATCAATAATCGATTTCCAAGCTTTGCATCGATTACTGATAATTTTTATTGGCTTTTTCGCAATTATTTCTGGCAGTTCTGCCGCTCAAACGAAATACAAGCTGAAACTATGATCTCTAATTTCGTTTTATCTTCAAATAGAGACGAATGGAACAGCGTACAGTATTATCGGTACTCCATTCGGTGAAGACGGCGTAATCCCCGCTGGCTATGGGGATGAGGCGACTGAGATCTGTCTCCAGTTCCCCAGTATAGAGTTTGTTCACGCCAATGTCATGCTGTTGCGGTAGAACAACAACAACATATCAAAGATGCAGATGGACAGGTCCAGCAGATCTATACTCACATTATAGGGACAGGTGTGATTGAGGTTCGAGTTGCTCGCGAACGAACTGTAGAACATTAAAGCAATGGGATGCTTCTTTTTTTCCCTCATGAACTTGCAGCCATCGTAGGAGATGTCGATGAAGAAGGGCTTGTATCCATGGTCAAACTTCATGAATTTCACTTTCACCTAAAACAGAGATCCATGGAGAACACATAAATCCAGAGAGAGAGAGAGAGAGAGAGAGAGAGAGAGAGAGAGAGAGAGGGGGAGCGCTCACCCCAGCCGTGTTTATGGGAAACTGATGGATCTTCGTGTATACATCCAAGTACTTGTGCGTTCGATTCACTGCCTTGATCTGGCACGCACTAAAACCCATGAACTTCTCATCGAGTGAAACGCATTTGAGATTCGTAAATGTCACGTGACTGAAACAAATCTAAGGAAAAAAAAGGATCAATACTTAGTTTTATTGATCCATTCGATCCAACGATTACCGTTTGCAGAGCTAACCATAGAACGAACACCGACAACCTCCACATTTTAGACGGAACTGCGCTCCGGATCATCGATTTACTCCACCAATAATACCATTTTGGAGGCAATATACTCATTACAACGTTCAACAATCCGCATCCAAATCCAATGGTGCGGCTATTAAAGGTCTAAAATTGCTTGAAATTTACATTTTATTGGACATTCCGAGGCTGCAGGGTTTACAGGGTAATCCTCAGGGTAATCTACTCTACTGATTCCTGTAATCCGATTGAAATGAGTTATTTCAAAACCGTTTTGATCCAGTTTGAGGCCAGTTTTGGCCAGAATTAATCTATAATTTAATGGGAGTCATCTTGAATATCCACCATAATTCACGGCATGATCCAATTCTTCTTCTTTATAAATAAAAATTATACTTGAGAATAATTATTTATTTTATTGTTTATTTTACAGCCAAAAATGGCTAAAAATTACCAGTAAATTATTTTTTTTAATTTTCAACTCTGACTTTTTTTTTGGAATTATTCACACTTTTTTTGGAGTTTCTTTCTTTTACTATGTTTCATAACACAGACATCATCATAACCGGCAACAAAAAAAAACCAAACACTAATTATGAGATTTTGTGTAATTTGAGCCTGAAAATATCTAAAATCAAACCACATTTTCGGTGTTTAAACGGTTTAATGAGGCTTGCCAGCCCATAGAAAGGGGACTATTATATGATTGATTGACTGCGCTGATTGATCAATCAGCTGTCGAACCGGACAGCCTGAAATATACCTTTACGTGGCCGCGATTTATTTTGTTCGTATACCATTCGGTGAAGAGGGCATAATCCCCATTGAGCATTGGTATATATTTGATGACATCCGACTCCAGATTCCCGGTATACAATTTGTCGACAATAATATCGTGCTTGAATGATCGTTACCTTTAGGAACTCTGCATGGAATGTACTCATACTCATACTCATGGAATACTCACATTATAGGGACATGTGTGGTTTACGTTGGAGTTTCTCTTAAATGTATCGTAGAAGGTTTTTGCGAAGGGATTCTGTTGGTTCTCCATAAATTTGCAGGCATCGTAGGTCACATCAATGAAGAACGGCTTATAGCCATGATCGTAGCGCATTAGTTTTAAGTTGACCTGCGGTGGGATTTTGCATAGATCTGTAGATCCATTAATTTCACAGCTTCTCGTTCCACTTACTGTGACATTTTCCACTGGTACTTTGAACAGTTTCGCCGTGAGATCAATGTACTTGTGGGTGCGATTCACTGCCTTGATGTGGCACTTGATATCCCCAAAGGATTTGTCCATTATATCGCACTTGAGGTTCGTAAAGGTGACATAGGCGTGGCACATCTACAATACAATATATGCAAAGTATTCTTCCACGAATCTGGCTTCAATGGTTTACCATCAGAGAACCCAATAGAATCCATTTGTACAGAAGAGCCTCCATTGCGCTCTGTTAGAGTGGAACCTGTGACTCGTTGTGGCATGAATCCAATATTTTGGGAGTATATTTATTATAATGATCCCAGTCATTAACAGCTCTGCCCTCCCATGGTCCAGTAATGCGCAATGATTTAATTGATAACACACACGTATTTACTCGTCTTTATATGTATTTATATTTATCCGCTGGTTGACCGAAAGTACACATTGACAGTCGCTGGATGATCGCCTCGATGGAACGGTGAACCATTAGAAAGAGAGGCTGTGGCAGTGGCAAAAAGCGCAGAAATCGTGCGTACAATATACAGCCTAAATCGCTTTTGGGGTTCCAATCACATTATAGGGACACGTGCGATGGATATTCGTAAACAGCTTGACCGTCTGAAATAACTCTCTTTGGAGGATCTCCTTTGTTTCTTTCCTTTCTTTTCATTCTTTAGATTCCTCAAAAATCCACACACATCGAAGGTCAGGCCTATAGCCATGGTCGTGACGCATGGCATGAAGTGAGAACTGCAAAACGAAACTAGTAATATCTTCTATATCTAAAAGAATTATCATATAATAACGCACCGTTATATTATCCACAGGAAACTAGTAGATCTTCGCATAGATGTGAATATATTTGTGGGTTCGATTCACGGCTTTGATCAGACATTTATCGAACAGCCCGAATTTGTGATCAATCATCTGGCACTTAAGGTTCGTGAATGTCAGATGTGGGTGGATATGGGTTTGGGACTTTTAGATGGGTTTTGTATCCGTATAGGAACCAACAACACTAAAATCCATTAGTCTTACGGGGCGCTACGTCAAACCAGAAATCGAGAAACAGAAACAAAAACAAAAGAACTCTCGAAAGAACTGGAACCCAACGTTAAATTAATGTTCCAGCGGAAGAGACGGCCTGAAGTTCTGGCCAGAAAACAAGTCCAGACGGACAACAAAAAAAAAAAAAACGTCCACAATTTTATTGGCCTTCACTTAACGCTCATAAATTTGTCTGCTGCTGCTGCTGCTCCACGAAGAAATCTGCGAGACGTAAAAAACAGCAAAAGAAATGAAAAGAATATGGTTTATAGGGGCCACGCTTCCGCAGATGAAACGATGGAACGAACGGCGATGTCTGGTGGAAACGGGTTCGGAAACACACAGTTCTCTTCCATTTTTTGTTACTTGCTTACCATACAGCGGAGTTGTGTTTGAATTTTCCCATTAAAAAATATGGCTGGAAACTTCTCAGAGAGGGAGAGACCTGTGTTCGTGCCTCCTGGCTGCCTGCCCCCAAAATCCCACCCATTTCTTGTCGCTGGAGTACTCCTCAGGTTAGTAGCGAACTTCACGCACAAATCTGATTAAAACTTGGTCGCAGTTAATGAACCAAGAAGGCAGAAGAGTCCGCTCCGCTCCAGACAGTGCCTGTGCCCCCAGCCTGTTGCAGTTGCATACACAGACGGAGACGGAGACGGCGACTGAGACGGCACAGACAGATAGCGAAAGAGGCGTCTAAAAATAGCCAACAGAACCACATGTTGGTCAAGTTTTTTATGGTATACCCTTTCTTTAAGGGTATTCTACGATAAGAGAGGAGTGGGCTACGCAGAATCTTTCCTGAGACTTTCTTTCGATGGAAACAATTAATTAACAATTATTTTATGTATTTTATAACTTTGAAATTTATCAAGAAAATGCCATGAGACTTTAGGGCTTCAAATACGAATATGTCCCCATTTTATTATGTCCCCAAAAAACTGCTACCACTAAATTATATGAATATTTTTACATACCAACTGAGTCTTAGGTGGCTTAGGATTTTAAGAATAGTTTTTAGAGATTTCTACAAGGGTATTAGTGTCTTCTTATTCTTCTTCTTATTTTTTTTTCCTCTGCTGCTCTTCTTTTTTTGTGTGTGTTTTTTGGGTTGCCTAGCAAACGTTACCCACATCTGTCTCTCCTGGCCAGAAGAGTCGCACTACCCAGCCCCGTCCCCGTCCCCTCCCGTTCAGTCCCGAGTGTCCCGAGTCGCAGTCCGTGTCTCAGAGTCCACTTTCCAGTGCAACAGCAACCATCTTTTAATAAATGCGAACGTGATCGCGTTTCGTGCGTCACTGAATGCCCAGACAACAGACAGAGAAGGAGATATAATGGCAAACAGACAGAGAGAGAGAGAGAGAGAGGGAGAGCAGGAAAGAGACTTTGTCGAGGCACAAGGCGTTGCACCTTTGGCCAAGGTGCATTGATCGGGATTGGGATCGCTGTCTGGGCAACTTTTGCTGTTCCCGCTGCCGCTCCTCCTGCCCCTGCAGTTGCTGCTGCTGCTGCTGTCTCGGCCATTGGCTGCGCTGCGCTTACTTTTTGTTGTTTTGTTGGTTTTTGTTGTACTTTGTTTTTTTTTTACATTTTTTTGCGAAACGAAATTATTATTGTATTATGCACGCGTATATACACATCCAAAAAGTATCTGGAGACAGCGGTTTTTTCCTCCTCTTTTCCTCTTTTTTGTTGTTTTTTTGTTTGTTAACGACACGACGCGTGCGTCGAGTGCCCGAAAGTGCGTTCAATGAACGCTGCAGCCGCAGCCGCAGCCGCTGCCGCAGCCAAAGAGCCACAGCCAAAATGGGGGCAACGATCGGGAGGTATGAACAAACGATAATACAGCGGAGATCGTAATGCCCTGCCTTGGGAGTAGGGGGTAGTGGGCAGACTGCAGTGGGGGGGGGGGGTTGTCAATGTCGGGGTGTCGGTGTCTGGGGTTCAGTGTTTCAGTCTGCAGACATTCGAGACGGCGGCCCTTGGACTCTTGCATTCTGCATTTTATAATTGAACTGCTTGGAAATATCAGAGAGTGCACTGCTTTTATGACTACTGCTTTACTTAAATTAGTTAAAGGACAGACCGACCACTAAAGCAGTGCAAAGCAGTCGAAAGAACTTCTGAAAACTGAGTCGCTGAGGTGTTGGCTTTGATGTGGGGATGATATCAAAATAAATCACTCGACTGCAAACAATATTCGATATAATCCATATCATAAATCTCCAAATATCATTCTCAGATGACTCCCTAGCAGGAGTACTCCACCTAGCCATCATAAACCCTAATCCAACGCAACTCCCATGCCAGGGAGATCATCAGCACTTTCCTCCCTAATTTTATTTCGAATCAACACGTGCTCCAATTAAATCTCAAAAAATGGCTATCGTACGTTTTCAGTTCATCGGCCACATCCAGACAGACACCCATGCACAGGCTTGCACCCCTCTGATACGCCTGATATGCGCCCCCTGATAACGACCCCTCGACGGACGGATGGCAGCGGTTCCGATTTCCGATTAACAAAAGGCGCGTTCCCCTCGGCACCATAGCCGCAATCGCACTCCAAAGCACTCCGCTGCCTCCCTCGTTCTCTTTGCTTTCGTCTGTCCAACAAATCAGTAAATGAAATTAACTCGCATTCGATCGACCGACCAACGTTCCTATATGTATATTTATATATGTATGTAAAGACTGTCTGACGGCATCAATCGGTCGCTCAATCGGTCGCCTGTTCGCTCTGTCGGTCGTTTGGTCTCTCCTCTCCGCTTGCTGTTTGATAATAATAAACCAATAAAATTAATACAAATTGCAATTGTTGGCGCGACACACTTCAATTGGTTTGCTCTTTTTTTCTGGTTCTGGCCTCTCTGCCTCTCTGCTCCTCTCTTTATTTTTTATTTGCCTTTTATTACGCACATATTTATTTAATGCAGGTCTCTGGCTATCCGTTCGTCTAGAGAGGGGTCCCGGGTCCCACATCTATATGTACGATGTCTACCCTGTACGTATATACTCGTATATCCTGTCTCCCTGTCCGTATGTCTGTCTGTCGTGTTGTGTGTGCCCGCCCCGTCTGCCTCGGTTGTTGCGTGTTTGTTCATTTTATTGTTTGCCCTTGTTTTCCCTGCTGCCTGCCACGGACACTGCCACTGCCATGGCCTCTGCCACTGCCACTGCCACTAACGCCTGCAGCAATCGAATGTCTGGATGAACAATACTCATATGCACTTAATTGGTACCCACAGAGCTCGTTACTTGAAGGATCCACATAATACAGCTTAGCAATAGATCAAAATAAATAAGTGTTGTCATTATCGAAAGATAAGACAAATCTTTTACAGTTTCTAGACAAATATCATATACAAAACTTAAAGAAAAAGAGCAAATAATTTGAGTCAATCATCTTTATTTTATCATTAAATGAATCTGTATTTGAAACAAACACACAACTCCAACGACAAATCATGTTAAAAACTTTTAAAGCAGCAACAACTTCTTGTTCAAGTCGCCTTCAAAGTGCTTTCCTTTGAAGCACTTTCCCCGGCAGGAAGGAAGCAAAGAGAAGGAAAGAAAAGAAAAGAAAATCGCTTGGCAAATTGAAATCAAACAGTTTAGCATAAATGCGCATAAATTTCGAAAGCTGTCATCAAACACATTTCTTATTTTGTCATATATTCCGTTTACCCCCGTAATATTCTGTATTTGGGTGAATATTAAAATAAATAGCAAAAGCTTAGAATACACACAGACGGAGGATGGGGATTAGGAATGGTTATACATTATACGCACATCTAGGATCCCTTTTCTGTGCGTAAGAACGCAGCACGTGGTATTTACTTAGGAGGCGAGAACACGCATTTTTCTTGTTTATTTTTTTATTTTTTTTTTTTTTGGGGCAGCATAACTTTCAACGAGTTCTGAGCCGCAGAGATACAGGGAGCCTCCTGAACATTCAACACTCACACGTCATCATCATCATCATCCTCATCATGGAACAACGGAAAACGAAGAGCACACATTGCGTATGCTTCATATTGCGTATACGCCACCAGGAGAGAGGCAGAAGCGGGGAAGCGAGGGAAAGCGCTCTTCAAATATGCGTAGGCCGCATACATATCTACATCACTGTGTGTCCTTGAGAGCCTTTGTATGTGTGTGTGTGTGTGTCTCCTCTCTCTGTGTGCGGCAACTTTTACACTGGCACCTTTTGCACCATTTTCCCAGTGCTT